ATCCACATTGAGCAAATTGGGTCAGAATAAATTAATAAATAATGCAAGAATTGCCTATAAAAAGCTAGATTGCTAGTATAATGTCATACTCACTGAACTTTTTATGTTCAAAATTCAATTTTAAGTGAATATTCATATAAACATTTAAAGACTTTTATATAACTATTGCAACTACCAAAAAAACCTCAATTAATTTATACACCTAGAAATTTGTATAGGAAAAATGAATCGGTGAAAATCTAATTTTTTATAATTAAAATGTTCGATGTAAAACAATATATAAAAGTTATACTGTAAAAACATTATAAAACCCGAGAAAAAGGATATTTTTGTTTATTACTTTTTATGAAATCATTGGAATTCAAATCACATATCGGTTTTAGAAATCTACCTTGTTTTCTACAATTATTCTGAATAGGTCTCACAAACAAATTATGAGCTTTGGTCGCCAAAATTTCTCACCTCTTTTCTCTCTCTTCTTCTCATCTCCCTTCTCCTCCTTTCTTCTCCTACAAGAATGATTGGCATGTGAAATTTGTGGAAACACAAGATTCAAGTTTCTTGAATCTTTGGTATGAACTGAATGCACAGAAAGAAAAGGCAGAGAAAGAAGACAAGCGTAAAGAGAAGGAAATATTATTTCTTAATCTTGTTACAGGTCTACAGTCCTATTTATAGTTATTACAGACTTACTACCGTACAGTTGGCAACACGACTATACAAATTAATTATTTGTTTCCTGTTGCTCTAATACGCCCGCGCAAACTGATGACCTGTCGACGACCATTAGTTTGTTTCGGAGTTTGTGGAAGCGAGGAGTAGAAAGAGATTTAGTCACTATATCTGCCGGTTGATCTATGGTGCTAATTGGCATGATACGGATCGTGTGTTGATGAATGTGATCTCTGATGAATCTATGGTCAATTTCAATGTGTTTCGTGCGAGCGTGAAATACAGGATTATTAGCTATGGCTATAACCGATGTATTATCGCAATATATATCGGTAGAAGTTGATTGAGTAACTCCAAAATCACTAAGAATTCGACGAAGCCAAATGATGTCAGCCGTTAGAGCGGCTAGCGCCCTATATTCAGACTCTATGGATGATCGAGCCACCGTGGTTTGCTTCTTGACAGTCCAGGAGATGATGGTATTCCCGAGAAATGAGCAGTAACCGGATGTGGACTTCCTGGAAACTGGATCACCCGCCCAATCGGCATCTGAAAATGAAGTGAGGCGCATATTAGACTTCGTAATAGGAATACCAAAAGCAATCGTACCTTGGAGATAACGCAGCATTCTTTTGAGCAAGTAGATATGTTGAGGTCGGGGTTCATGCATATGTTGTGAAAGAAGATTCACACTGTACGCAATGTCCGGGCGAGTTAGGATTAAATACTGTAAGGAACCCGTAATTCGTCTGTATGTTGAAGGATCGGACAGCACAGTGTCCGGCGAGAAATCCTGCAGTAGCTTTGTACACGCCAGGTTAGCCAGCGATTTGCAGTCACTGAGTTTTGCCATTTGGAGAATTGATTTCGTGTAGTTTGACTGTGAGAGAAAGTATGTGTTATTAGTATGTGTAATGTGAATACCAAGGAACGAATGTACCTCGCCGAGATGCTTCATTGTGAACTTGGTGTGTACCAATTGCATGACATGATGGAGAGCTTGTGCATCGTTTCCCGTTAGAAGTATGTCATCAACATAGATTATGTCATCGACATAGATTAACAGGAACAATTGAATGTGATTCTTGCGGAAGATATAAAAGGAAGGATCGAATGAGCTTTGGAGAAATCCAATTGCTTCCAGATGCGAGGTGAAGCTATTGTACCATTGGCGTGGTGCTTGTTTAAGGACATATATGGCTTTGTGTAAAAGATAGACGTGGTCCTGATATGTGGTGTCTTCAAATCCAATTGGTTGACGCATGTAGACAGTTTCGGTGAGTTTACCGTGGAGAAAAGCGTTTGCCACATCTAGTTGATGAACATTCCAATTGTTGTGAAGAGCGATCGTTAAAAGAATCCGGATTGTAGATAATTTAGCAACTGGGCTGAACGTCTCCGTGTAATCAAGCCCGAATTCCTGATTATTACCTTGAGCGACCAGCCGGGCTTTTGTAACGGGCAATGGAACCGTTCGCATGGAGCTTAGTGCGATATGTCCATTTACATCCTAGTATTGTTTTATCTGTCGGACATGGGACAAGACTCCATGTGCCTTGAGTTTGCAGTGCAAAAAATTCGGATGACATGGCCTCACGCCATTCTTTATGTTTATTTGCCTCATGAAAGGATGGAGTTTGATGCTGAGATCATGGAGCATATGGCCTCCGCCAGATTCTGGTCGGTGAGAAGCCATTGAGCGTGCTCGGTGTTCGGGGTGGAAGATCCATCCGTTTGATTGATGATCGCCGGTGGGATTGAAGTTGAACGATCAAGAAATGTCACAAAACCGTTGGCTCGGCAGATTTTGAGAATCTGAGAACGGCATAGATGACAGTTGTCCGGAGAGATGGGGCTTTGGATGAAGCTTTTGAGGTTCGAGAGAATGAACTTTAACGACGAGGAGATCGCCGGAGTTGAAGACGATAGAGTTGCCGTGGGATCCTTCGTCTGGGAGGAGGAAGAAGCAGCCATTGTTGCCCTGGATCAATTAGCTGTGTCTGATACCATGTGGAAACACAAGATTCAAGTTTCTTGAATCTTTGGTATGAACTGAATGCACAGAAAGAAAAGGCAGAGAAAGAAGACAAGCGTAAAAAGAAGGAAATATTATTTCTTAATCTTGTTACAGGTCTACAGTCCTATTTATAGCTACTACAGACTTACTACCGTACAGTTGGCAACATGACTATACAAATTAATTATTTGTTTCCTATAGCTCTAATAAAATTTACAAAATGGTTTAAGATAATTTTAATTTTTAAAAACCACTAATGAGGCCTAGCGCCACCATGCTAGCCTCCTCAGCATTGTAGCGCTCCCAAAGAATCTTTCGAATTCTCCCAGAATCTTGTCTTTAGAGAGCTTGGCACCATGACAGCACCACTGAGCATCGCAATGCACGTTCAATTCATTTCCTTCACATGAGCACTAAATGCCACAGGCGCCACTCAACCCATCTTCGTTGCGCTCCTAGAGTTATTTTGCTGACTTTGAATTTCATTTCTCCCATCTAATTCTTAACTCACTTAAGATTTTAAACACTATATGACTTATAATTATAAATTAACTTAAAATCAAACAAACACTTAATTTGGTTAACCTCAATTAAAAATCATATATGCAAAGCAAAACACAACTTGCAAAGAACCAATACAGCAACCAATTAGATTTTTCCTAACTTTCAAATGTTGATACATTTTTCTTCCAACATTTCATGCTTTCATTTAAAAGTTTTAACATTAAAATTTTACCTCTATGCGGCCTTAATATTTTTTTTTTTAGATTTGAACTCAAGTTGTTAATGAATAGCTAGTAGAGAAATGACCTTTGTCGCACTAGATGGAGCTGGATGATTTGATGGGTTTTTGAAGATGGCATCCGCATCTGTTCTTGTGGAACTTTTGTTTGGTCCGATCACCTAACGTAGATCTACGTTCGCACGCCAGTAAAATAGCGCCACGTGTTCTTACTCTTTACCGCGCGGCCCGACGACCCGATTGGAACCGGAACCCGAAATTGCTATATCGCGTATTGCTCGGTATTGTTCTTCATAGAGCATTATTTCTCATTTTTGCCAAGCAATACGGAGCAATACCTAGCAATACCGAGCAATACGCGAACATAGCAATTTCAGGTTCCGGTCCGGGTCGGGTCGTCGGGCCGCACAGTAAAAAGTAAGAAGACGTGGCAAAATATTATTGGCGTATGAACGTAGAACTAGGTCAGGTCACCTGACCTAATAATTATTCGTTCTTATGATGTTCACCCAAAATCTAATAAAATTGTTAGTAAAAATCATTCCACAAGAAAGATGAGTTAGAGGCTTAGAGCAAGATGTACTCATGCACAATGTTTTTAGAAATGATTAAGTGCGGAGTTTGGACGGCGTCCAGACTCCAATCATAACCACGTTGCCTGTACACTATGTATAATTTGTACACAATGTATAAATTATACACACTATATGTACAGACTGACTTCGCCACCTGTGTGATTGGAGTTCGGAAGCAAGTTACATTCGTACGTACGGACTCCGCACGAATGTGCCATCTAAGATAAAATACATTCTACATTGTGATCATAAAATTAATTTTATCAACTTCTATATACGTAATCAATGTTTTATGCCTAGCATGTGCTAATATTACTTTGAATAGTACTTCATCACTTATAGGATAACAGCATTGGCAAAAAATTTTTTGGAGAGTAAAGAAGTAAATGAGACGAGTGAAGTATATTATAATAACTAATAGATGGTCCAACAACTAGTATTGTAACTATAGTTATGATGCCCTAATTAACCTAAATTGGTATCTACATTGCATCATAATGTTTCATTTGGGATAATTTTTTATTGGTTATTAAAATGAAATTTTAGTACAAAAATTAAAAAGCAATAAAAAAATCATCTCAAACAAAACCTAAGCCACACGATAACCTCGGAACTAGGGTGTCATGCCTACATCAATTGTCTAGTTAATAAATAAGTCACCTAACTAGCAAACAATTTATTTCATTTTTTGTTTTTTTTTTAAAATATTTCAATAAATAATAAAAAGAAATAAATAGAATTATGTTGAAAATTATCCTTAAAATTTTAAGAGTATAATATAAAAGAAATTAGAACATGTGAAATCATTTACTTTTATTATGCATTAAAAAAAATGTGTTGGAAAATTCTTATTTAAAATATTATATTTTAAATTACATTCATTTAAATAATTTTAATGTAAATTAAAAGAAAAATTAAATTAAAAGAAATATATAGAATTATATTAAATATCTTGGCATGATTTTTCCTCGGCAAGCTGACGGTGGTGGTACAGGTGGGGGAGAGGGGATTACAGCTATCAGGCGGGCAGAAGCAGAGGATCGCAATTGCGAGGGCGATGCTGAAGAATCCGGCAATACTGTTGCTCGATGAGGCGACGAGCGCGCTCGATTCGGAGTCCGAAAAGCTGGTGCAGGAGGCATTAGATCGGTTCATGATCGGCCGAACCACGCTCATAATCGCACACCGCCTCTCCACAATCCGCAAGGCCGATCTTGTCGCCGTTATCCAGCAGGGGAGTGTAGCAGAGCTTGGCACCCACGACGAACTCATGGCGGGGGCAGATAATGGGCTCTATGCTCGCCTGATACGCCTCCAGGAGCAGGCTCACGACGCTGCGCTCATCAATGCCCGGAAAAGTAGCGCGCGGCCATCGAGTGCCCGAAACTCTGTGAGCTCGCCAATCATCACGCGCAACTCCTCCTATGGCCGTTCCCCCTACTCGCGCCGCCTCTCCGACTTCTCCACGTCTGATTTCAGTTTTTCCTTCGATCCTGGTCACCACCGGTCGGAAGAGAAGCTGCCGTTCCGTGACCACGCTAGCTCATTCTGGCGGCTTGCAAAAATGAACTCCCCGGAGTGGGCTTACGCGCTCATTGGCTCTGTTGGCTCCATGCTGTGCGGTTCCATGAGCGCCTTCTTCGCGTATGTCCTCAGCGCCGTACTCAGTGTCTACTATGCCCAGGACTACGCTTACATGCGGCGTGAGATCGCCAAGTACTGCTACCTCCTCATCGCAGTTTCCTCCGCCGCTCTGCTCTTCAACACGCTTCAGCATTTCTTCTGGGACGTGGTAGGCGAGAATCTAACCAAGAGAGTACGGGAAAAGATGTTCTTTTCTTTTCTCCGGAACGAAATCGCCTGGTTCGACCGCGATGAAAACTCAAGCTCCAGGACAGTTGCCAGACTCGCACTGGACGCCCATAATGTCAGGTCAGCCATCGGGGATCGGATATCAGTGATAGTCCAAAACATTGCCCTCTTGCTCGTCGCCTGCACGGCGGGGTTCGTCCTTCAGTGGCGCCTTGCCCTCGTTCTCATCGCCGTATTTCCCGTCGTAGTCGCCGCTACCGTGCTACAGGTACGTTGATTTTGAACATGTTTTGCAACATCTTTATAAATTTGGAAAACCAATTGAACAACTTGGCTACGCAGAAAATGTTTCTCAAAGGCTTCTCCGGAGACTTGGAAGGGGCGCATGCTCGAGCCACACAAATCGCCGGGGAGGCGGTGGCGAATTTACGGACGGTTGCAGCATTCAATTCGGAGACCAAAATCACTGAGCTTTTCGCAGCAAACCTGGAGGGCCCACTGCGGCGGTGCTTCTGGAAAGGCCAGATCGCCGGGAGCGGCTACGGTATTGCGCAGTTCCTCCTCTACGCCTCCTACGCTCTGGGGCTATGGTACGCTGCTTGGCTGGTGAAGCACGGAATCTCGGACTTCTCCAAGACCATTCGCGTCTTCATGGTCCTAATGGTATCCGCGAACGGCGCTGCCGAGACACTGACTCTCGCTCCAGACTTCATTAAAGGAGGCCGGGCCGTGCGTTCGCTGTTTGAGGTAATCGACCGCAAGACCGAGATCGAACCCGATGACCCAGAGGCACCCCAGGTGCCCGAGCGCCTCCGTGGGGAGGTGGAGCTCAAGCACGTGGACTTCGCCTACCCATCGCGGCCGGATTTCCCCGTACTCCGCGACCTTACTCTGCGCGCTCGCGCTGGCAAGACTCTTGCACTAGTTGGACCTAGCGGGTGCGGGAAGAGCTCCGTGATCGCACTCATCCAGCGCTTCTACGACCCGAGCTCAGGACGGGTTCTGGTGGATGGGCGGGACATCCGCAAGTACAACCTCAGAACGCTGCGGCGAGTGATGGCGGTGGTGCCGCAGGAGCTGTGCCTGTTTTCCGCCACCATTCAAGAGAACATCGCGTACGGGCGGGAGGGGGCGACGGAAGCGGAGGTCATCGAAGCAGCGACGGCGGCAAACGCTCACCGCTTCATATCTGGGATGCCAGAGGGGTACAAGACGTGGGTAGGGGACCGCGGGGTGCAGCTTTCAGGAGGACAGCGGCAGCGGATTGCGATTGCTAGGGCGTTGCTAAAAAAGGCGCCGGTTTTACTACTTGACGAGGCTACAAGCGCGCTGGACGCTGAATCGGAGAGGTCGGTGCAAGAAGCGCTGGACCGAGCGGCGGCCGGCCGAACTACAGTCATGGTGGCCCACCGGCTCGCGTTGGTGAGAGGGGCCCAAACTATCGCAGTGATTGACGAGGGGAAGGTGGTGGAGCAGGGATCACATTCTCACCTTCTAGCTCACTACGCAGATGGATGCTACGCTCGAATGCTGCAGCTGCAGCGTTTGTCTCAGGGTGGTGTGCTGGGTGCATCTACGAGCGCCAGAGAGGGCGAGGAGAAGTAAATAGTAATGGTATCCGTTGAGTATGGAATATTGTGAGTGAATGGCGCAGATCTAAAGTTCTGATTTTCTCTTTTTTTTTGTCTTTTTTTTTTTAACAAATAGGTAAAATCTTACTGCCATTTGGAGTAATAGAGAAATAGTACATGTAAGGTAGATTTTTGGTTTCTATGTGTTTGATGTAACACAAAAAAGACAAAATATAATATAATTTGATTTTGTAAGGAAAGCTCTGATGGTTGGGACGGTTAAATATGAAGTAAAAAATTATTCCCCAAATATTTTTTTAATTTGTATTTTTTTTTTTAAATTAGGGCAGAGTCCATTCATTGACTATAGAAAAAAGTTGGTGCAGGTTCCATTCAGAACTTCATAATAAAGCGTCATTGGACGAGTGTAATACTAGAATAAGTGACCTCGAAATTTCACAAATATTTTATTTGTTAATATTTTTTAATTCAAGTTTTCATAAATATAAATGTAAGATATATATATATATATATATATATATATAATAAAATTAATTATTAAAATTATTAAAAAGCATCCAAATAAATATTCATTAGCGTCCAAAAAATGGTCGCTAATATGTCCAATTTTAGCTACGAGGCTACTGCGACAAATCAGCGACCCAAATATTTTTTGTCGCTATTTGCTTTAGCAGAGAGATTCCCGGGCCGCTCATGCTTCTTTTCAACACGCTTTCAGCCATTTCTTCTGGACGTTGGTAGGCGAGAATCTAACCAAGAAGAGTCCGGGAAAAGATGTTCTCTTTCTTTTCTCCGGAACGAAATCGCCTGGTTCGAGCCGCGATGAAAACTAAGCTCCAGGACATGTTGCCAAGACTGCACTGAGCCCATAATGTCAGGTCAGCATCGGGGATCGGATATCAGTGATAGTCCAAAACATTGCCCTCTTGCTCGTCGCACTGCACGCGCGGGTTCGTCCCTTCAGTGGCGCCTTGCCCTCGTTCTCATCGCCGTATTTCCGTCGTAGTCGCCGCTACCAGTTGCTACAGGTACGTTTGATTTTAGAACATTGTTTTGCAACATCTTTATAAATTTGGAAAACAATTGAACAACTTGGCTACGCAGAAAATGTTTCTCAAGGCTTCTCCGGAGACTTGGAAGGAGCGCATGCTCGAGCCACAACAAATCGCCGGGGAGGCGGTGGCGATTTACGGACGGTTCAGCATTCATTCGGAGACCAAATCACTGAGCTTTTCGCAAGCGAAAACCTGGAGGGCCAACTGCGGCGGTGCTTCTGGAAAGGCCGTCGCCGGGAGCGGCTAGGATTGCGGCAGTTCCTCTCTACGCCTCCTACGCTCTGGGGCTATGGTTACGCTGCTTGGCTTGGTGAAACACGGAATCTCGGACTTCTCCAGACCATCTCGCGTCCTTCCATGGTCCCTAAATGGTATCCGCGAACGGCGCTGCCGAGACACTAAGACTCGCCCAGACTTCATTAAAGGAGGCCCGGGCCGTCGTTTCCTGTTTGAGGTAACGACGCCGAAGACCGAGATCGAACCGACTGACCCAGAGGGCACCCCAGGTGCCCGAAGCGCCTCCGTGGGGAGGTGGAGCTCAAGCACGTGGACTTCGCCTACCCATCCGCGGCCGGATTTCCCCTAACTCCGAGACCCTTACTCTCTGACGCGCTCGCTGTGGCAAGACTCTTGCACTAGTTGGACCTAGCGGTGCGGAGAGCTCCGTGGATCGCACTCATCAGCGCTTCTACGACCGCGAAGCTCAGGACGGGTTCTGGTGGATGGGGGGACAGTCACGCAAGTACAACCTCAGAACGCTGCGGCGAGTGATGGCGGGGTGGTCCGCAGGAGCTGGTGCCTGTTTTTCCGCCACATTCAAGAAGAACATCGCGTACGGGCGGAGGGGGCGAACCGGAAGCGGAGGTCATCGAAGCATAGCGACGGCGGCAAAACGCTCACCGTTCAATATCTGGGATGCCAAGAGGGGTACAAAGACGTGGGTAGGGGACCGCGGGTGCAGCTTCAGGAGGACAGCGGCAAGCGGAATTTGCGATTGCTAGGGGTTGCTAAAAAGGGCCGGTTTTCTACTTTGACCGAAGGCTACAAGCGCGCTGGACCTGAATCGAGAGAGGTCGGTGCAAGAAGCGCTGGACTCGAGCGCGGCCGGCCGAACTAACAGTCATGGTGGCCCACCGGCTGCGTTGGTGAGAGGGGCCCAAACTAATCGCAAGTGATTGACGAGGGGAAAGGTTGTGGAGCAGGGATCACATTCTCACCTTCTAGCTTCAGCTACGCAATGGTGCTACGCTCGTAATGCTGCAGTCTGCAGGCGTTTGTACTCCAGGGTGGCGTGCTGGGTTGCATCTAACGAGCGCCAGAGAGGGCGAGGAGAAAGTATAGTAATGTAATGGTTCCGTTGAAGTATGGAATATTTGAGTGATATGGTGCGATCTAAAGTTCTGATTTTTCTCTTTTTTTTTTTTGTCCTTTTTTTTTTTTTTAAACAAATAGGTAAAATCTTGACTGCATTTGGGAGTAGATAGAGAAATAGTAACATGTAAGTAGATTTTTGGTTTCTAATGTGTTTGATGTAACACAAAAAAAGACAAATATAATATAATTTGATTTTGTAAGGAAAGCTTGATGGTTGGGAACGTTAAATATGAAGTAAAAAATTATTCGCCCAATATTTTTTTTAATTTGTATTTTTTTTTTTAAAAATTAGGGCAGAAGTCGCATTTCATTGACTATAGAAAAAGTTGGTGCAGGTTCCATTCAGAACTTCAATAATAAAGCGTTCATTGGAACGAGCTGTAATACTAGAATAGTGACCTGAAATTTCACAAATATTTTTAATTTGTTAATATTTTTTAATTCCAGTTTTTTCATAAATTAATGTAAGATATATATATATATATATATATAATATATATATTATATATAATATATATATATATAAATTAAGTTGGGATCTATGGCGGCTTTTTTTTTTCAAGACAAGTAATATAATTAGCAAATAGATATTGAGAGCTTGAGTTGATATATGATAGGCCACAATTTTCAGAGAGAGCATGTCAGCTTTTTATTTTAGGAGAAAAAAGCTCGTTTGCAAAAGAATATATAGAGAAGAGCAGATACGCGTGAAGGTCATGGCGTCTCATTCAAAGAATGCGCCTATATGATCTGTCGCATTCCTTGAATGCGTCGAATAGGTTCGCGCATTGTTCAAATTTTGGTGACTGCGCTTATTGAAATGGCGTATTCCAGCGAAATGTGCGCTAACGCGTTTTCCCGTTTTTTTTGCACGCATAAACTGGTCTCAAATTCCGTGTATGAGAATTTCCTAAATTGGATCCTGAAAGTGGTGTAATCAGACTTATATCTTTTTGCTCTCGGATGCAGCTGTTACAGTGATCAGGATTAATTTATTTGCTTGTAAGTAGGTTGGAAGTTAAAACCATTTTTCTGTAATAATAATTAAAATTTATATAATGAAATATAATATTTCAATATTTAATTAAATTTTAAATAATTTAAATTGTTAGTAACATTTTAATTATTTTTTTTATTTTAATAAATTTTTGAAATGATATTTAACAAAATTAGCCTGATAAGATTAAAATTTAAATTTTATTTAATAACCGCATAAACTTTATTAACTTAAATATTAATATTATTAATATTAATTTATTAATCATAATTTTAAATTTTAAATTTAATAAAGTTTAATTGATATATTTAAATAATATTAAATACGTTATTAATGTATTTAAGTTAACTATGTTACTATTTAATTCTTAATATTATATGTAATTAATCTATTGTATTTGGAATTTTTATATAAAATTTTAATATTAATTATTAATAAATATATCAATTATTAATTAAAATAATTTTATTAGTTTTTAATCAATAAATTTTATAATATATAATAAAATTGTTTTATTTTTAAAAAATAAGTTAATAA